GAGGGGTATACCGAAAGAACTCCTGTTCCTCAGGATTCTTATGATTCCTATAAAACCATTTCAACGAATATAACGACGCGTTTCCCAAGTCATACAAACACGACAACTGCACGGAACTGCCCTTCTTGACCCGCGCCGGTACGTTGAGGGACACCAGTCTTATGCACGTTATGTCTGCAAACACACAGAGAAACATTTTATAATTAAATAACTTATACAATAATATCAAATGTATTTAACCCGGATAAGTAAGTGTCAGAATGTATGCCAAGAATAGCGCACTAACTGTTAAACTTTTTGTCCGCATTTTGTATGATTTGTTTGAATGAAATTAATGGCAAATTGAATGATTGAGACAATGATTGAATGAATGAATGCATCGATTTGTGTGTCATTTACTCAATGAAAGGAAACTTTTCTTATCTCTGATCTCCCCTTCCTATCGGCACTTTTCATATAAGCTTAACATTGAATGCAAGCCTTTATTATGCAATTAATTATTCAATTTTATTATGTAATCATTTATTCAATGTTTATTTAATAATATCAATAAATTATATTATAATCTGAATAAAAAGATAATACTATTAATTTAAAACATAATATAAAATAAAGAGATTTGAATGTAAAGTATATCTAATTTTCTTAATGAATGAATGAATGGATGACTGAATGTGTGATTGAAATGAATGGCAGAGAAGTAGTGGTCGTATGTGTTGTTCAATACGTTTATGTAATTATTTGTTGTCTTAATTGCAATTAATGGCTGTCCAATAGTACAGTACAAACACCGTTACACACATATCACACAATACCAGTGCCAGAGCTAACTGTGCCTAACAGTGCCATAAGGTTGGGTGCGATTAGCATTAGTACAGCACTTGTATAATAGGATTGAAGGCATTGAAGGCAACACTTATTACAAGACAAGAGATGAACAAAACTTAATGAACACAAAACCAGAGACAACACCACCGCTACTACTCTTACAATACTAACCCTCACTATTGACTACCAGTGCTCTATTCACTGATAGAGGTGGCCATACATTCATTTTGATAAGTGACCCATAATTGATGCCAACATTCCAGAGACAACACCACCGCTACTACTCTTACAACACTAACCCTCACTATTGACTACCAGTGCTCTATTCACTGATAGAGGTGGCCATACATTCATTTTGATAAGTGACCCATAATTGATGCCAACATTTTTCATAAACACTTTTCTCCACTAATTTATTAATATTATTACTTTTGCTCTCATATTGTGTTTTTCGTTTCTCTTGTAATGACTTTTTTGTGTTTTTATTCAATTGTTATCTCTTTCTAAATGGATATGAAATTTAATTTTTTCTTTAAGCTTTCACTTTGTATTTGGTATATAAGCAACACATAATTTTATTATACAATCAGTTACCTAAGGACCACTAAAACAAATAAAATATAATTTGTGATACACTATGAATTCTTAGTATACCTAATAAATTGATAGTAAATAAAACAAAGCATACATTTTATGTCATATTTAAAATATGCAAAATATATACTATTAGAAAAGAAGTTTTATTTTAATAAATAACTAATCTATGGCTTAATTTTAACTTCAAAACTTGAACACAATATGAATGCTATTTAAATTAAAGTTACAATTGTTTGATACAATGCTTTCATACAATAGTAATCTTCCATTTGTTTGGATTAATGGCTTAGGAATGGGAACTACAACTGAATTCACTTTAGTTATAGAGAGCTAAATGAGTCATAAATATAGTTAAATACATGGGAATTGAAGTATTTTCTAGATATTCTTACTTTATATAAAAGTCAATATCATTGATATGAATATGAATATCCATTCAATTTATAGATGATATAAAAGTAAGAAATAAAATATATAGTTAAACCTAGAGCATATCAAGAAAACTATTACCAAATAGAGTGGAAATACATCTGATGTCATAACAAACACTAAAAACAGTGTGACTTATATTTGCAGAGATAGAGAGAAAAGTGATGAGAATTTTTCACTTTTAGACACAAAGTATAATATAAAGTAAAGCCTCGAAATGAAAGCCATAACAATAACACTGTCTGAACGGTTCATAAGTTTTTTCACTCGTCGTATAAAATTCAATGTGTTTTTTCGCTCACAAGAAATGCTTTCAATCTTTTATACAATATTTACATTCAGTTATATTTTGCGATCAAAAATGAAAAAGAAACTCTTTTCACACTTTTAATACTTTCACTGAAAACATATCTCATATATTTATATATAAATATATAAAAATACAAACAATTGTTTTTTGGAAACCATTGGTATATATAAGTAGAAATTTTCCTCATCCCTGAACTCATACTTATATTACTTTTCTTGACGCATAAAATGTATTATAACTGAACAATTTATTGCCAAAAATACTTAAAATTTGAGAAATATATGTGTTTTGCTTAAAATTGTGTTTTTATTTATTATATTTTATGCCATACATTATTATGAATCAAATAAAAATACCACTTTTCTCTCGGCAAACAATTTAAGCTTATTATACACACACTGAATATATAATGAAATATTCATGAATTTTTTTATTTAAAAATTTTCTATAATATTTTAATATGGGATACGATAAACAAGAATTTCATTTTTTGTAAATAAAGTCAATGCCTGGCATTGATGTGTGAAATTTAATGATAATTGTGTTGAACATCAGTTTGAAAAGTCTTTGAACTTTTGTTTTTGTCCAAACATTTGATTTGTTTGGAAATTGAATTTTAAATTATTGTTTTTCTTTATTATGTGTTTTCTTTTTATTTTATACAATATTCGGCTATACTTTAGAGACAATTCAATAGATATATACAGTTAGAGATCGTCTCAAGACTTAAGTTGAAGTTTGTGTTCAAAACAATTGTCTAATACATTATGTATTGATTTTGTGTTTGTTTTCTCTTTTTTGCTTTTAGTGAACAAATTCACGGCTTTTTTCACAACAAATTCTGTACACGAAATGATACTTAAATTTCATGTTTGGAGTGAAGCACAAAAATTGTTATCAAAAATTCAAAGCATAGAAACAGTTGAGCGAAGAATAAGTTAAATGCATTGAAATCTAATCACAATTTTGTGACTAATAATACCAAACGTTGTGTTTAAAACAGATGATGTGTTCATAACGCTATTTAAATGTTTCATATTTTTTGCGTTTATATTTTATTTGCGTGTTTTCGCAAATTTACCGCTCACGGGGGTCGCCAACGAAATAACATTTTATATATCAAATACAGTAATATTGTTAATTATGGTTAGTTATCGCACAGTATATGCATTTTATATGATGTATACATATTTAAATCATATTATTGTAACAAATAATAAATTTTATGTAGCGTAAAAAGTGGAATCCATTGACACATGTTTAGGAAAAGTGCCTTGATAGTCCCGGATTCTTGTGAAAAAATAACTGAATTTAGTGACTATTTTATGGACTTTTTGTCAAAGAGTGAAATGTGTTTTACTATTAGTTTTACATTCAATAAGTGATCGTTTATTCGTTTAAAACATTTAAATCGCTCTTTCAATACATTTTCGATCACTTCTCACATGTTTTGAGACTCTCTTCACCGAAATTCAGTATTATTTTTAAACTCAATGCAAACGCTTTTATTACTATTTCTTCTACTCTTTGGAGAAAAACATTTGTTTCTACACTTAAACTAATAAATCAAATTCAATGCCATTTTCTTTTAATTTATATATATCTCTGTAAATCAGTTCGCAGTAATTGATAAAAAATAGTTTTTTTACAAAACTATAATATATTATACGAGTAGTTAAGAGTAAAAGGAAATGAAAATCTATTAATCATTTGCTATTAAAGAGCATATCGATAGAGAGTAATTCATTTAAATAAAGTGCAAAATAATCTTATAATTGCACTTTAAAGCAAATATTGTTATTTACAAAATAGCTTACATTCAAGAACATTTTTTCTGAATCTTTGTTAAAAACTATTAAACAGTTTATTTGAGACAATGTTTGTGGAAAACAGCCCTTTCTATAGCTGTTGTCGATTATATATGCCGTCGTCTAAACACTTGTGGCGAACAGTGTATAGAATTACTTAACAGTAAATTGACTTAAGATACAATTAATCTTAACGTGTAGGTGCTATTTGCACAGCTAATCATAAGTAGTAGTGTAACGCGTAATGCAAATATTCATTTATTATTTTCTAACTCATGAACTCCCGTTCACTTTGATTTATAAGATCGTCTAAAAAAGTAGGATAAAGTTTTCTATTTGCACAGCTAATCATAAGTAGTAGTGTAACGCGTAATGCAAATATTCATTTATTATTTTCTAACTCATGAACTCCCGTTCACTTTGATTTATAAGATCGTCTAAAAAAGTAGGATAAAGTTTCTGAGTTGACGTTCCTATAGTTAAGTCAGTATTAAAAATAAAAGACAACATTCTATACTTATATTATTGTAAAATTAATAAGAAGTTTAACTTTTACAATTACAGTAACTGTATCTAATATATTTGAACAAGATAAACTCGACACTTATTATATAATAATTAGTAATACTGTATTAGTAATCAGTTGTTGCCCAATTTATATTAGCATGATAAGTTTTAGAAAATAACAGGGTTAAAATTGTTATTATTTTGTGGATCACCCTTATACTGGAATTTTTGAAATCAAAACAAATAGTGAACGCATTTTTGAATGAAGAAAAAATACAGATTCAAAAACCCATTCAACAGAAATTCACTATAAGTCAGTGAAACGAAAGAGTATTATATTTGAAACAAATTGTATAACAAATTAAATAAAAATATCAGAGCAAATGTTTTTTATCTCGTTTAATATTAAATAATTGAGAATTGAATCAAATCAACGATTATACCGGGGAAAGGGATTTATCTGCCAGCGCTCTATCATATTATGTGTGATAAAAGCCATCATTAGTTTCTGTGTGTATTACAGAATTCATAAATCAAATGCAGTTTTCTTTTGGCTCTTTCTTTAAAAAGAAATAATAAGTCATTCGATGAGACGTTTTGTTGGTGTCTATGAAATAGACTTTTCTCGAGTCAAACATCAATTGAATTACAATTTTAGTGCACAAACTCTCATCACTGCATAACACTATACACTACACTACGATATAGTCAAGTGATTGTCTGTCTGGGAGCTAAGCAAATAGTGATCCCCTTATGCTATCGGTGCCAATAGAGCGCATTAGATGGAAAGGGAGATGGGCATAGGGATAGGCATGTCAGGGAGAGAGAGAGAGAGAGAGAGAGAGAGAGAGAGAGAGAGAGTTATGTAATAAATCACGTGAGAAATATGATGAGCCAAATATATTTGAGTTCTTATATATTTTACTTCACATGTCATGGATTGTGTCGAAAGTACATATATTTTTTGTGTGTGTATTTGACTTGTGTTTGAATGAATGACATAAACATAGTTTTGTCTCAAAAGCAATACAAATAAATATGTGAATTATTTATCAGATAAATATTTTTTATAAAATTTATTATCTAAAAGTATGTCTTAAAATTTTTAAAATTAATTAAAATCTCATATATAAATAAATAAAATGATTAGTGTGTGAATAGTTTGCTATAAGATATATCCCATAAAAATAGCTTTCATGGCGTACAATACAAATTATGTTATCTAATTTTTATACAACAATGTTTGAATACTATTGTTTAAATATTGTTTTAACCATGCTCATACCATGCGATGCGCTTTTGTTCATCAAAAACTCTTTCCCAAACTAATTATTTGTATCCGACGGCCATTCCTTAAGCTTCATATGATTTTAATTAAAAGATAAATTGAT